AACGTTGTAGACTAATTACGTACGGTCCGTTTCGATCGAAAATGATCAAATGAATATTTATGGAAAGTTAGAAATGAAAGCAAGAATTATTAAGAGTTTCCTCTCAACAATTAATTTTTGACTAATATAAGTTTCATTTACTTGGAATTTATTATATTATGAAAACTTGATGTAAAGTAATAATTTGTTATTATTATCAACGATTGCTCTTTATAACTCAATACAACAAGGATTTACTGGAATAGAAATAAATGGTAATAGAATAAAGCATAAATTAAATCCGCATTGATATGATATCTACTAGACTTGGGAGGCTTTCCATTTAGTGACACAAATCGACATAAATGTCATTCTATTTTTCTTACTCACTGAAATGTCAAGAAAGATAAAATAATGTTTGTATTGATTTGTATTTTTTGAAATTTAATTTGTGAAATAATGTTAGCGAGCGTTAAGTGAAACGCGATTCCTTTTAATCGCTTAATTTAGAAATTGTTTTAATAAAAAAGTCAACTCTAATTCGTTAAATTTATCATTACAGTTTTATTATATGTGGTGGCCATGTTTATTATTGCAATACTTAAGATAGATATAACTGATCATTATCACTGGATTCATGTGAGACGATAAGAACTCGAAACATTTTTTTTACTCATATAGTTATCGGGAGGAATATTGCTAAATTAATTAGGTCAATTTAAAAAATGTATGTCACTCAAACGTTAATACAATTAACGATTGATGTAATTATCAAATAGAAAGAATTAAGTACCTCGTGCAGATTTATAGTCTGGCGAAAACGTCGTTAACGACTGAAAAATGTATCTTCTCGGCAATTTCTCGTTTTTATATAATATCGATCGCCTTCGTGAAGTGTAAAACTCAATGCGAATAAACTTGAATAATGCTGTGTAAACGGAAATATTTGAAAGTATATATACCTTAGAGCATGATAAAAATACAAGGGTATGCTCATCAATTGTCTAAAACTCGTTCAGCTTGCGCATGTCCTTGCCTACGTCATATTCGGGTACGCGTTGATTGGTCGGTTCCGATTCGGGTGCAATCGGTGGTTTTCGGTCGTAATTTATCATGGCGTCCATGGCGTAGTGCACGTTGTCATCGGTAGAAGTTAATGTTAAAAATATTTTCACGATGACCTGCATAGTGAAAGGATGCGGCAATTATATGAAAAAAACAAAAAAAACTGAGGGAAGTAAAATTAAATATTTTACCTTTCCAAAACAATCTGAAATTGCTGAACAGTGGCGTAAGCCACTCGTTGTGACGTAAGCAAGGACAAAAATCTGATTGGTCATGCGCATGAGCATACCCTTGTCTTTTTATCATGCCTTAGAGAAGAGAACCAACTACGTGTTAGATCGTTAATGGGTTTCCATTCGATAATGTCACGAGTTGACACAAGTCGATATAAATGTCTTTCCGTCTTTGTTACTCTCTGAATATCAAGAAAGAATGTGTCGACTTGTGTCGCTAAACGGAAAGCACCTAATAACGCGCCGATGATAGCCAGAAACATATATTGATGCAACAACGACTGATAACTAGTTAAATATGTAATTTACGTAATTTATCACAAGGTGCTTTAGGTTTATCGCAAGGTAAAATCCATTAAATTTTATATATATACCAGATAATCAGATCGTTCCATTGTAACGTTCAATTGTACGGAAAGTACAATGTTAAAAATGTCATAAAATTTAATGTACTTTTAAGTTACATAAATTAAATTAAATTTTATGACTACATTACAATTTTATGTATCTGTAACTGAAAAGTATATTTGTATACATGTACATGAAATTTAGTGCACGTTTCATAAAATTTTACGAAGTTTAGTACATTTTTTATTAAATTTTATGTAGATTTGTATAAAATTTAATATAAGTAAACATTAAATTTAAGTTATTTGCAACTTCATTTTCATTGACAACACATTAAATACTTTTAATATTTTTACATAAAATTTAATGAAATCATAAAATTTAATTTAATTTATGTAACTTAAAAGTACATTAAATTTCGTGACATTTTTAACGGTGTAGGATATAAAATGATAATATGGGCGGTTACAGGAATTTGGCGTATATGCGGTATATAAGGAAATATAATTTCTAATTCTAGATATATTTTTGATAACTTACATTAAAAGCTACGAGATCTTCGATGCGCCAGATGGCTAGGCGTATTTTGCAAATAATTGATTCGTTCGCGCTAAAGCAACCGCGCCGATAAGATTACTCGTTAGGTGGTATGCCGAGTATACGTGTTCTGACTAGAAGCAAATTCTTCTCTCTGTTAGAACTGGTCGAAACACCTATATTTAATCTTCTCCTCGAATAATCGAACGACTGCGCGCGCAATTCATTAATATAATCGTTTCGTTTTGAGAGAATTCTGTATGATAAACAGAAACATACACGTCTTTCAATGTTTGACAGCATATACGTTTTTCAATCTGAAACTAGTTAATATATGTTCTGCTTTATTACGTTCAAGTAATCGCAAATGTAATTATTAATTATTCAATCATTATAAAATTGTTACTTTTTTCCGCCAATATTATTGCTACAAAAAGTACAAAATTTGAGAAAATTTTGCTCGTAGATTGCTGAGAGAGAAACATAAATAGAATAGAATTTTATTAGTACCCAAATATATCTATAGATCGAATTATCTCATTTATCTAATAGTCCTATAAATATTTTAATATTTATGCGAAAAATATCGATTACGTAAACTTACATGTTACTATTAGAACTTTGGGGCCATAGAGATTATCTAATCATTTGAGCTGGAAAACAAATCAGAAAAAATTGTCGAGTCGAGCATAAACGATAAAAATTATTGCCATAAATAATTGAGAGATAAATACGATGGAGAGAGAGTGTGTGTTGATTAAGGGGATCCTAGGCCGGTATTCATAGTCAGATCTTATATTCAAGACCATCTTAAGTACTGTCTTAAGAAGTCATAAACCAATCAGAGGGCTGCATTAGCGTCTTAAGGCATTACTTAAGACGATCTTGAAATAAGAATCAACTATGAATACCGGCCCTAAAGCCATCTGTATTACCGATTAAATCATATAATTTTTGTATAACAAAAATACTCTTTTTCTTTTTCACAAATTCGAGTAATCCTTTTCCAGGTTTAAAGTATACGCATTAATACGTGTTTGAGGTGGAGTTTATGCTGAAAATGACCAAAAATTTCGAAATTAATATATTTTTTACCATTTCTTACGAACGCTTTATCGTGACGAATTTGTTATACGAAAATTGACACGAACGTGCGACTGTGTGTATCATAATGTGCGTGGGATATTGGTGTGATAGTATATAGGGTAAACTCGGGTATGATGGCCATAGTTTTTTAAAATGCAAAAAACATACATTTATTCTTGTTACTTTTTAACAATATTTGGGATATTACTTTCACTGAAGCTTAAAGTAACAAATACTATCGAAATTAAAGAGAAAATACTTAACACAACTTTAATTTTATCAAAATATTACAAAGTATGCATTGGCCATTTTATCTGATTTTTAGGGAAAAGATGGTCATGATATTAAGAAAGATAGCCACAGTATTTATAAATAAATAGTGAAAATAAAAGTGTTAATTATAGGTCACATTGCAATTTACGTACCTTTATTCTGTATATAATGTTGATTATGACAGCTTAACTGTAATTTATTAAACATTATAACAGTTTTTAGCAGACACGTGCAAAACTTTGCAGATAGTCGAAAGAAAAAATATTAGATAATATTTATAATATTGTTATTTTGAACAGTGTACTCATATGAACTACTGTAAATATTGATTATCTTTAAGAATGACTATAAAAATGTACTATTTATCAATTGGGAGGATCCCGTTTGCCTACAGTTCTGATTGTACACACCACTCATATCAACTGGTGCCTAGTAATTTTTCACTGTTTTGCCAATGAGATTATTTTATTTTTAAATTGGCTAATCAGCGATGCATGTGTGCAATATGCGATGTGTGCAATCGGAGCCCTCCCACATCTTTCATTCATTTCTTATACTTATTATATATCGTTGTGTCTCGCTTAAACGCATTCATCTGTCTTTATCTAACATATTGCAAAGCCATCTCTTAGAAAGA